TTCGCTGCCGCCGTTCTACATCCTCGTGTACGTCGACGACTTGGTCTTTGCCACTGCTGACACTGAGGGACTCGCCCACGTGAATTCGGAGCTGCAGAAAAGACACACGTGCACAGATCCGGGTGAACTACGCAGCTATCTAGGCTTGCAGATCACCCGGGACAGAGCACAGCGCACCATTACCTTGTCTCAGTCACACATGGTGCAGCAGGTCTTTCAGCGCCTCAACTTCACGTACTCCTTACCTCAGGCCACTCCTGTATCTACTCGCCACTCCCTCTCAGCTCTGCCTTCGGATGAGTCCGTAGAGCCGAGTGGCTCGTACCCAGAGCTTGTTGGCTGCCTCATGTACCTGATGACCTGCACTCGACCTGACCTTGCATACCCTCTTAGCACCTTGGCATGCTATGTTGCTCGTGGGAGACACCGACCAGAGCACATGGCTGCAGCTAAGAGGGTGTTGCGCTACCTGTGCAGTACGTCGGGCATGGGGCTCGTGCTTGGAGGACAGGCTCGAGTTGTCCTTACTTGTCACGCAGACGCTTCTTGTGTTGACGGCTTGGCTACGCAGCGGTCGTCACATGGTTACACCTTCAGCCTTGGTTCCGGCTCTATTTCGTGGTGGTCTACCTGCTCGTCTTCTGTTCTCGGCTCCAATTGTGTGGCTGAGATCTACGCTGGGGCCATGGCTGCACAGGAGTTACACTGGCTCACCTACCTGCTGACCGACTTGGGAGAGGCGCCTTGTTCTCCTCCCGTTCTGTACTTCGACAACAAGGCCATGCTGGCCTTGTGTCAGGAGCACAGACTGGAGCACAGAACGAAGCATATTGCTCTGCGCTTCTTCCTTGCTCGAGAATTGCAGCAGCGTAGTCAGCTTCGTCTTGCTTACGTGGCCTCTCGGGCCAACACTGCTGATATCTTTACCAAGGCACTTCAGCCTTCTGATCATCAGCGTTTCTGTACTATGCTAGGTCTTGTGCCTACCGGGCCTCACTTGCTTACCTCTTGACTTTGTTTGTACTGTGATCTATATATACCTTCACCTGCATGCTTACCCTTGTTAGGTTGAGATCACTCTCTTGCTTGTTCACCTTGCTTTATAATTTTGTATGTGAACTGGCCTTGTGGCCTTGATCTAGTGCTCAGAATGTGTGGTGACGTTGTGATCCACCTTGAGCTTGACCTTGCCTTCTTCAGTTGCTTTTCCCCCACTTTGCCTATAAGGGTGTGTCAGAACTATATTGTAGGCTGCAGTGGGGTAGACAATATGGGGTACAACTCCTTTAGGTTTTCATACTTATACCCACCTACTTCCTAGTTCATTCATTCCTTGTTCTTATTCTCACACAACAGCGTCGTCATTCAGAGATGTAAAGCCGCCCGTGGTGCGTTTTTTTCAGCTTTTCTGCCTCATAGCTAGTGTCTGGTTTAGCTCAATGTTGTTATAGTCACAATAGGCTCCAATGTGCCTAAAACGAAAGATAGAGTGCACAGTCGGATTTCTGCACAGCGGCTTCAAACGTTCATAGCGATCTGCTCACAACTCCAAATGACTTCATTCAACTTGGATTTGGAGTGCCTTAACGTCGCACGCTTTCATTAAGAACTGACGACACAGCGTCGGTTTGAACGTACGGCACTATGGCAGCAACATAGTCTTAGAACACAAGATAGGAAGAGTTAGGAAGAGTTACGAGTGGGGAATGACTCCCAGCTCCTACAAACCCCAAGAGCCGAGGTACAGTGATGTGGAACAGTGCCATACTGTCCCCAACCACGAAGGGTCTCGAAACTACCCTTCACTAGGGCCTACACCAAGCGAAATGTTACACTACACAAAGGGTAACTATCTTCAATATCTTGAGGTGCACCCTTTTGGCGAGCTTCGAAATCACTTGAGGCTTGACACCAAGGCTCGGGCTCTTCATCACAAACTCATCCTTGAGTTCTTGATGGGTCTTCTGCACACACCTGCGACACACCGAACGTTCGACACAGGACAAAATAGAAACCGCGCACGACAAAAATAAAAACCGCGCGCGAGACACAAACGACCGCGTAACACGCGTCTAGCGATAACTCGCTATTGACTCGACACACACACTCGACATCATGACTCAACATTCACACACAATTATAAGCATGAAATATATATTATCCCATGCCCTCATACCATTCCATATTTACACACATGCACGCACACGGACAACAAGCCGAGTGCAAACCGTAGGGTTGCACCAACAAATGTTTTCCTTTCTTTACTGTTCCATCTATACTATAGTGTCAATCTTTGTTTCCTTACGCTCCTAGATCTATGTTCCGATTTTCCTTAAAAACAAAAAAAAGACATGAACGAAAGAGAGAAACAGAGATAGGGAGAAGGAGCGGGAGCATGGCATAGTTGATTGTTAAGTGAAAGAAAATAGCTGCTTCCCTTTCTCGATCCCTCCCTCCCTCCTTTCTTAACTAAACATAATTTCGCGTGTCAAGTACTAATCTGCTTTATAGGCTGGAGCAGATCAGTACTTGGTCTGTAGGTTCTTTTGTTGTTTCTGTTTTCTCGTGTTTTTCCTTCTGTTTTGCTTCGATTTCTGTTATTTTGTATTGTATTTGTCTTTCGGTTTGGCAGTTTCTTTTTGCGTCAGTGATGCGCTGCCTTCTCTTCTGCTCCTTTTTCACTTTCAATGTCATTTCTTTCCTGTCCTCCCTTGATTTACTTTCCCATTTCCTCTGCAACGAAAACCATGTTGCACCTTTCAGAAAGACAGGTTCAGTCTGCTAAGTGGGAAGAGTAGTGGTGATTCACAGAATTCATTATGATTATACTTGTTGTATCTTGTTTTTCACCTTCTATTGTTATTGTTTTGACTTTGTTCTGATGTGAATTGGGGTTTCTCTATGTATGTCTATGTGTTCATCTATACTCTTTCAATTCTTGCATTAGCAATGCATGTCTATGGGTCTTACAAACTTGATCAGCCTATCATTTCCGTGAACGTCCTTGGCGCACTCAGTGAGTGTGTCCACTTGAACAGGATTTGATGGAACTGATCATTATTTTAGGATTCACAGATTGTGTTGTATTCATGTGATTCTTGTATGACTTAAATGCTAGGCTATTGACTTCCCTCCCATGCTAGGTAGGGGATGCGGTAGCCTCGTTGTTTAGGTCTTATAACTATCACGCATTTCTATCATTTACTGGCGTACATACTGCAGTAATATGTGTCAGAACATTATAGCTTATACATTTGTGTAGGCTGTAGTGGGGTAGCCCATAAGGGGTACAACCCAATCAGGGTTAGTACTTGTAGCCAACTGTTTTATATTTCATTCATTCCATTCTCACTTCTCGTCATGGTATCGAGCAGGTTCTCGAGTGGGAATACTGCCTAGGGCCCACCACGAACTTTTTTTCCCTGCCCGTAGCCCGCTTAGCTCCTAACCCGAGTAGCGCCTCGAGCCGCCTTAGTGGCCCCTATTGGCCACCCTTACTGCCCCTCGAGCCGCCCGCTACGGCCCCGCTTAGGCCCCGTCGGCCCCGCTACGGCCCCGCTTAGGCCCCGCTACGGCCCCGCTACGGTCCCGCTACGGCCCCGTCGGCCCCGCTTCGGCCCCGCTACGGCCCCGTCGGCCCCGTCGGCCTCGCTACGGCCCCGCTTAGGCCCCGTCGGCCCCGCTACGGCCCCGCTTAGGCCCCGCTACGGCCCCGCTACGGACCCGCTACGGCCCCGTCGGCCCCGTCGGCCCCACTACGGCCCCGCTTAGGCCCCGTCGGCCCCGCTACGGCCCCGCTTAGGCCCCGCTACGGCCCCGCTACGGCCCCGTCGGCCCCACTTAGGCCCCGCTACGGCCCCGCTACGGCCTCACTACAGCCCCGTCGGCCCCATCGGCCCCGCTTAGGCCCCGCTACGGCCCCGCTACGGCCCCGTCGGCCCCGTCGGCCCCGCTACGGCCCCGCTACGGCCCCGCTACGGCCCCGCTTAGGCCCCGCTACGGCCCCGCTTCGGCCCCGCTTAGGCCCCGCTGCGGCCCCGCTACGGCCCCACTTCGGCCCCGTCGGCCTCTTTACGACCCCACTTAGGCCCCACTTCGGCCCCGTCGCCACCGCGGCCCCGCCCACCCTTGCGGCCCGCCGCCACCTGCGACCCCGCCTCCCAGCGCCCGCAACGCCGAGCAGCCGAACCGCCGGCCACCTGAGCCGTCCGGCCTCCCGAGCCGCCCAGCAGCCGAGCCGCCCGACAGCCGAGCCGCCCAGCACCGTGCAGCCGAGCCGCCCAGCAGCCAAGCCGCCCAGCAGCCGAGCCGCCCGACAGCCGAGCCGCTCCGCACCAGCAGCCGAGCCGCCCAGTAGCCGAGCCGCCCTGCAGCCGAGTCGCCCGACAGCCGAGCCGCCGAGCAGCCCGATCGCTCCACCTACCTGGTAAGAGCACAGTCTCTGCCACTGCACTGCCCTGCCTCCTGCTGTTATGGCTTCCCCTAGCGTTCTCACCTTTGACGCTGAGGGTCGGGCAGTGGACTTTGAGGTCTGGGTAGATGATCTGCAGCTTTTCCTGCAGTGCGATAGGGCAGACGGCCTCTCCCAGTTTGACCTCACTTCTGGTGCCTCCCCTGCCCCTGCTGCTGATGTTGACGCCACTGTTTGCTCACAGTGGGCCACACGTGACGCTGCTGCTCGCCTTGCTGTGCGCCGCCACCTACCGACCGCTGAGCGTGCACACTTTAGCTAGTAGAAGAGTGCTCAGACCTCGTACGACGCTGTAGTTGCACGCTACTCTTCCCCTGCCACTGCTGCACTGAGCCGCCTCATGCTACCGTACCTCTTCCCTGACCTTACTACCTTTCCCACTGTTGCTGACCTCATTACGCACCTCCGCACTAGTGACACTCGCTACCGCGCTGCGCTTCCTGCTGAATCTGCGCCAAGAACCCCCCCCCATGTACATCACCCTCTACTACATAGTCACCCGTCTCCCTGACTCTCTCCTTGTAGTCAGGGACCACTTCCTCTCTGTTTGCCCCACCACTCTCACCGTTGACCTCCTCGAGAAGGCCCTCCTAGCGATAGAGAAGAGCATAGTCGCTGTAGGAGCCACTCGTGGTGTTCTCCCTCCCCCCTCTTGCCCTCTGTTGCCTCTACTGCTGTGGCCGACCTCGTTGGTTTTGAGTCGGTCGGCGCTGCGTCTGCCCCGAGCGGGAGACGCCGCACCGGCAAGGGCAAGGGGGGCAAGGGCACTGGAGGAGGTGGAGGGGGCAGTAAAGGTGGTGGTGGAGGCGGTGGAGGGAGTGGGGGTGGTGGTGGGAGTGGTGTTGGGGGTGGCGGCGGCGGCGGCAGCAGTGGAGGCGGCGGAGGCGGTGGAGGTGGCGGAGGGAGCGGAGGCGGCGGAGGTAGTGGAGGAGGCGGAGGTGGAGGAGGCGGCAGAGGCGGCGGAGGCGGCGGCGGCGGCGGAGGCGGCGGTGGTGGAGCGAGTCGCGACTCTGCGTCGAGGAGTGGCGCCGGTGGTGGTCAGCGCCAGGAGCAGTAGCGGAGTGGTGTGACCCTGTCCCCTCAGCAGCTTCGTAAGTGGTACACTGCACGCCAGCGCGGTGGGGGTTTGGGTCCCTGCTCTTACGTTCTCCGTACCGGCGACCGCACTGGTGAGCAGTGCGGGGGTCCGCACTCCACCCAGCGCTGCTTTGGTCGCCTGACGGACGCGTGGCGTCGCCAGTTCCCTGAGGCGTCTGAGATCCCTCGCTGGGGAGATGTGGCTAAGGCCGGGGTTGCTATCTTTGATCTTGACTTTGATGCTATTCTTGCTGCCATGTATGTTGTTGCTGATAGTGTTGAGGGTGCCTGTTACCTGTGTGTACCGCCTCACCCGGGCATTGAGGCTGCTGCGCTAGGTGCTGGTGTGACTGCTGCTCTAGGTGCTAGTGCGTCTGCTGCCCCAGGTGCCAGTGCGTCTGCCGCCCCAGGTGCTGGTGAGTCTGCTCTCTCAGGTACTACGTCGGCTCAGGCCTTCCACACCTTCACCCTGAACTTGGGTGCGTCCCGCTCCTTCTATCAAGACGGCACCAGTCTTACGCCGCTTAGTCCGCCGGTTGCAGTCTCCCTAGCAGACCCCTCTGGGGGTCCTGTCCTTGCTAGCTTCTCCACTGTCCTTCCGTGCCCTGCAGCCCCCTCTGGCACCCTGTCTGGTCTCTACCTCCCCTCGTTCTCTACGAACTTGGTGAGTGAAGCAGACCTACAGGATCGAGGGGTTGACCAAATCACTCCTGCGAGTCAGCGAGTGACCCACTGCACGTGTGCTCGGACAGGCCGACACTTGGCCACGTTCACCCGTCGGCCAGGGTCGAGCGTGTACACCCTTACTGCTGAGTCTCCTCCTACTGCTGAGTCTGCCCAGGTAGCTGCGTCGAGTCAAGTGCTTGCTGCGGTGTCCAGGTCTGGTCCTGAGTCTGCCCCCTGCTCGTGTCGTCTGCTGTCCCACCAGACTCTCCTTTGGCACCACCGCCTTGGTCACCCCTCCTTGTCTCGTCTCCGAGGCATGGCCTCCCGTGTCCTTGTCTCTGGTCTTCGTCGGTCTCTCCCTCCCCTTCCTCCGGGGCCTGGCCCTACCTGCGTCCCCTGCGTTGAGGGGCGACAGCGCGCCGCCCCTCACTCCTCCGAGTTTCCTCCGACAGAGGCTCCGCTGCAGACTCTACACATGGACGTGTGGGGCCCAGCCCGCGTTAGTGGGCAGGGGAGAGAGCGGTACTTTCTGCTGGTCGTTGACGACTACTCGTGTTACACCACAGTCTTCCCCTTGCGCAGCAAGGGTGACGTCACTGAGGAGTTGATGGACTGGATCCGCACAGCTCGTCTCCAGCTCAGAGAGAGTTCCGGCTCGGACTTTCCTGTTTTGCGTCTGCACTCGGACAGAGGAGGGGAGTTTTCCTCTGCCCGTCTGGGAGCCTTCTGTCGGGCACAGGGCATCCGCCAGACCTTCACACTTCCGGCCTCTCCACAGCAAAATGGGATTGCTGAGCGCCGCATTGGCATGGTCATGGACGTCGCGCGTACGTCCATGATGCATGCGGCTGCCCCCCATTTTCTGTGGCTGTTTGCGGTTCAGTACGCCGCGCATCAGCTCAACCTTCAGCCCCGGGTCTCCTTGCCAGAGACCTCCCCCGCCTTGCGGTGGACAGGGAAGGTTGGCGATGCGTCTGTGTTTCGGGTCTGGGGATCTCGGGCGTTTGTCCGCGACTTGTCTGCGGACAAGCTGTCCCCCCGTGCTGTTCCTTGTGTCTTCCTTGGCTTCCCCCCTAACGCGCCTGGCTGGCAGTCTTACCACCCCACCACGCGCCGTGTTCTGTCCTCTCAGGACGTCACCTTTGACGAGTCGGTGCCTTACTACCGTCTCTTCCCCTACCGCACTACGCCCCTCCCCCCGCCGCCGCTCTTCCTTGCGCCAGGTGCTACTCAGGTAGACCCCCTCCCTCCTCAGGGTCCTGCCCCTTCAGGTGTGTCCCAGGTAGACGCAGTCGAGCCTCTCGAGGTAGCTGTAGACTCTGGTGCTGCTAGAGGTGCTGAGTCTGGGGGTGCTGAGACTGGAGGTGCTGAGCCTTGGGGTGCTGAGTCTGGGGGTGCGGAGCCTGGGGGTGCTGGGTCTGCTTGTGTGGCCGCCGGCGGTACTTCGTCGAGGCGGGAGCCGCTGTTTCCACAGGAGCTGCGCGTGTGGTTCGCCCGCCGCTGGAGACGTGGTGCTAAGTCTGGGGGTGTTGGCGCTGGTGTTTCTACTGGTGCTGGTGCGTCTGGGGGTGCTGCAAAGGCAGCTGGTGCTGACGGTCCTACTGGAGTTGGTGCTGCTGGAGCTGGAGCTCCTGGGGGTGGTGGCGCTGGTGTTCCTACTGGTACTGGTGCGTCTTGGGGTTGCTGCTGAGGCAGCTAGTGCTGACGGTCCTACTGGAGTTGGTGTTGCTGGAGCTGGAGCTGCTAGGGGTGTTGGCGCTGGTGTTTCTACTGGTGCTGACGGTCCTGCCGGAGTTGGTGCTGCTGGAGCTGGAGCTGCTGGGGGTGTTGGCGCTGGCGGTGCTGCTGCCGCTGGGGGTACTGGTGCTGTACTTGCTGGTTCAAGAGGCGCCGCGCGGCCAAGGCCATACTTGGTTCCGCTCCAGGAGCAGGTTCTTGGTCTCCCGCCCTCTACTGGTCCTGCTCCTCCCCTAGAGTGTCCACCCCCTGTCCAGTCGCAGTCACATTTACCGCCCGCCTCCCCTCTACCTGCTCCTTCTGCCTACACTGGTCCTACTGGAGGTCTTGCTAAGCGTCGTGAGCCTGCGTCTCGTCCCGCGTTACCTGTTCGTGCTGCTCGCACTAGTGGTCGTACTGCGCGTCCGCGTCCTCCTGCGGTCCCCGGCACACACCAGATGGCACTCCGTCCTTCCACTGCTCCTTTGCGTGTCCAGTTGCCATCTCCTCCAGAGTCCTCTCTTCTATCTCTTGCTGACCCGGAGTCTGACACCCTTCGTGCTGCTAGTCCTTTGGTCACGCGCCTTCTTGCGTCTGTCGTCACTGACCCTTCCTTTGAGTCTGCCGCTGCATCTGCTCTGGTTGCTGAGCTTGTCGACTTCGCTGCTCGCTGTCGTCTAGACTACGATGCCAGTCTTGTTGCTGAGTCTGAGTCTGTCTGTCCTCCGTCCGTCGGGGGTGAGTGTGCTCTTAGCACAGACGTCCTTGAGGACAGGCAAGAGGAGTTCCAGTGCTTTGCTGCTGCTTTGCCCCATCTCGTGTCCACGCTGATTGCCCCTGAGGGAGACCCGGATGCACCAGACATCCCGACTCCTCGATCGTACGCTGAGGCGATCGAGGGTCCCTACTCCTCTCAGTGGCAGTCAGCCATGGACGTAGAGATGGCTTCCTAGAAGTCCACAGGCACCTACGTCGATGAGGTTCCCCCACCTGGGGCGAACATCGTCAGTGGGATGTGGATCTTCAGGGTGAAGCGGCCGCCGGGCTCTCCGCCTGTCTTCAAGGCGCGTTACGTGGCTCGAGGCTTCAGTCAGCGGCAGGGAGTTGACTACTTTCAGACCTTCTCTCCCACCCCGAAGATGACCACTCTTCGGGTGCTGCTGCACATAGCCGCTCAGCGCGACTACGAGCTTCACTCTCTTGACTTCCGCACTGCTTTCTTGCAGGGCAGCCTGCACGAGGAGATCTGGCTGCGCCACCCTCCTGGCTTCACTGGGTCCTTTCCTCCTGGCACCAAGTGGAGCCTCCGGCGGCCAGTGTACGATCTCCGCCAGGCGCCCCGTGAGTGGCACGACACACTGAGGACTACACTTGCGGCTCTTGGGTTTACTCCTTCTACAGCCGACCCGTCGCTGTTTCTACCCACCGACACCTCTTTGCCGCCGTTCTACATCCTCGTGTACATCGACGACCTGGTCTTTGCCACTGCTGACACTGCTGGACTCGCCCACGTGAAGTCCAAGCTGCAGAAGAGACACACGTGCACAGACCTGGGTGAACTGCGCAGCTACCTTGGCTTGCAGATCACCCGGGACAGAGCACAGCGCACCATTACCCTGACTCAGTCACACATGGTGCAGCAGGTCCTTCAGCGCTTCGGCTTCACGTACTCCTCGCCTCAGGCCACTCCTCTGTCTACTCGCCACTCGCTCTCAGCTCTGCCTAAGGATGAGTCCGTAGAGTCGAGTGGCCCGTACCCAGAGCTTGTTGGCTGCCTCATGTACCTGATGACCTGCACACGATCTGACCTTGCATACCCTCTTAGCATCTTGGCACGCTATGTTGCTTCTGGGAGACACCGACCAGAGCACATGGCTGCAGCGAAGAGGATGTTGCGCTACGTGTGGAGTACGTCGAGCATGGGGCTAGTGCTTGGAGGGCGACGTCGAGTAGTCCTCACAGGTCATGCAGACGCTTCTTGGGCTGACGACCACGCTACACAGCGGTCGTCACAGGGTTACACCTTCAGCCTTGGCTCCGGCTCTGTTTCATGGCGGTCTACCCGCTCGTCCTCTGTTCTCAGCTCCAGCTGTGAGGCTGAGATATACGCAGGGGCCATGGCTGCACAGGAGCTACGCTGGCTCACCTACCTGGTGACTGACCTAGGAGAGCTGCCTCGTTCTCCTCCAGTTCTGTACGTAGACAACAAGGCCATGCTGGCCTTGTGTCGGGAGCAGCGGCTGGAGCACAGAACGAAGCACATTGCTCTCCGCTACTTCTTGTCTCGTGAGGTGCAGCAGCGTGGTCAGCTCCGCCTCACCTACGTGGCCTCTGAGGCCAACACTGCTGATATCTTCACCAAGGCCCTTCCGCCTTGTGATCATCAACGCTTCTGTACTGAGCTATGTCTTGTACCTACCTAGCCTCACTTGCTCACTTCGTGATCTTGTTTGTACTGTCTTCTTTCTATACCTGCCCTTGCTTGTTTTACCTTTATATATATGACCTTGCATGTGAACTGGCCTTGTGGCCTTACTCTTGTGCTTGGACTGTGTGGTGACTTTGTGATCCACCCTGAGCTTGCTTTGCTTTGCTTGACTGGTCTTGTGACCACTTGTTCTCCCCCACTTTTCCTATGGGGGTGTGTCAGAACATTATAGCCTATACATTTGTGTAGGCTGTAGTGGGGTAGCCCATAAGGGGTACAACCCAGTCAGGGTTAGTACTTGTACCCAACTGTTTCATAGTTCATTCATTCCATTCTCACTTCTCGTCAATATGTACCATGCTAATATGCATTCTACTATGCATCATATTCATGCATTATGCAATCATTATTTAAAATCATCATATTTATATGCGCATTATAGGATACACAGCCACAAAGTAGGCAAAAATTGAACACAGAGACGGAGCACACAGCCACATACGTACCACAACAAGTATAGTAATGTAGCCGTAGAAGTACATATTGACGAGAAGTGAGAATGGAATGAATGAACTATGAAACAGTTGGGTACAAGTACTAACCCTAATTGGGTTGTACCCCTTATGGGCTACCCCACTATAGCCTACACAATATGCATGAGCTATAATATTCTGACACACCCCCATAGGCAAAGTGGGGGAGAACAAGGGGTCACAAGACCAGTCAAGCAAAGCAAAGCAAAGCAAGCTCAGGGTGGATCACAAAGTCACCACACATTCCGAGCACAAGTTCAAGGCCACAAGGCCAGTTCACATGCAGGAGTACATATATGTAAAAAGGCTAGACAAGCAAGAGCAGGTATATATATATATATATGTAACAGTACAAGCAAGGTCAAGAGGTGAGCAAGTGAGGCAAGGTACGCACAAGGCCCAGCTGAGTACAGAAGCGCTGATGGTCACAAGGCGCAAGCGCCTTGGTGAAGATATCAGCAGTGTTGGCCTCAGAGGCCACGTACGCAAGACGCAGCTGACCACGCTGCTGCAGCTTACAAGCCAGAAAGTAGCGGAGAGCAATGTGCTTCGTTCTGTGCTCCAGTCGCTGCTCCCGACACAAGGCCAGCATGGCCTTGCTGTCTACATATACCACTGGAGGAGAACGAGGCGGCTCTCCGAGGTCAGTCAGCAGGTAGGTGAGCCAGCGAAGCTCCTGTGCAACCATGGCTCCTGCGTAGATCTCAGCCTCACAACTGGAGCCGAGAACAGAAGACGAGCGAGTAGCCCGCCACGAAACAGAGCCGGAACCAAGGCTGAAGGTGTAACCCTGTGACGACGGCTGCGTAGCCTGGTCGTCAGCCCAAGAATCGTCTGCGTGCCCTCTAAGGACCACTGGACTCTGCCCTCCAAGCACAAGCCCCATGCCCGACGTACTGCACAAGTAGCGCAACACCCTCTTCGCTGCAGCCATGTGCTCTGGTCTGTGTCTCCCAGGAGCAACATAGCGTGCGAGAATGCTAAGAGGGTATGCAAGGTCAGGTCCAATGCAGGTCATCAGGTACATGAGGCAGCCAACAAGCTCTGGGTACGGGCCACTCGGCTCTACGGACTCATCCGAAGGCAGAGCTGAGAGCGAGTGGCGAGTAGGCAGAGGAGTGGCCTGAGGCGAGGAGTACGTGAAGCCGAAGCGCTGAAGGACCTGCTGCACCATGTGTGACTGAGTCAGGGTAATGGTGCGGCGTGCTCTGTCCCGAGTGATCTGCAAGCCAAGGTAGTTGCGCAGTTCACCTAGGTCAGTGCACGTGTGTCTCTTCTGCAGCTCGGACTTCACGTGGGCGAGTCCAGCAGTGTCAGCTGTGGCAAAGACCAAGTCGTCGACGTACACGAGGATGTAGAACGGCGGCAAAGAAGTGTCGGTGCGCAGAAACAGCGACGGGTCAGCAGTAGAGGGAGCAAACCCAAGAGCCGCAAGTGTAGTCCTCAGTGTGTCGTGCCACTCACGCGGTGCCTGGCAGAGACCGTAGACTGGCCACTGGAGGCTCCACTGGGTGCCAGGAGGAAAAGACCCATAGAAACCAGGTGGGCGACGCAGCCAGATCTCCTCGTGCAGGCTGCCCTGCAAGAAAGCAGTGTTGAAGTCAAGAGAGTGTAGCTCGTAGTCACGGAGAGTAGCTATGTGCAGCAGTACCCAAAGAGTGGTCATCTTCGGGGTGGGAGAGAAGGTCTGAAAGTAGTCAACTCCCTGCCGCTGACTGAAGCCACGAGCCACGTAACGCGCCTTGAAGACAGGCGGAGAGCCCGGCGGCCGCTTCACCCTGAAAATCCACATGCCACTGACGATGTTCGCCCCAAGAGGGGGAACAGCGTCAACGTAGGTGCCTGTGGACTTCCAGAAAGCCATCTCTGCGTCCATAGCTGCTTGCCAGTGAGAGGAGTAGGGACCCTCTATCGCCTCCGCGTAAGAGCGTGGAGTCGGGATGTCAAGTGCATCCGGGTCTCCCTCAGGGGTAAGCAGTACGGACACAAGATGAGGTGAAGCAGCGGCCAAGCACTGGAACTCATCCTGCCTGTCCTCGAGGACGTCCGTGCCAAGGGCACACTCACCCCCGACGGACGGAGGACAGACAGACTCAGACTCAGCAACAAGACTGGCGGCGTAGTCTAGGCGACAGCGAGCAGCAAAGTCGATGAGCTCAGCAATTAGGGCAGACGCAGCAGTGGACTCAAAGGAAGGGTCAGGGACAACAGTAGCAAGGAGACGCGTGAGAGTAGGACTGGCAGCACGAAGAGAGTCCGACTCCGGGTCGGCAAGAGCAGGAAGAGAAAACTCAGGAGGAGATGGCAAAGGAGCACGCAGAGGAGCAGTGGACGGACGCAGAGACATCCGGTGCGTGCCAGGGACAGGAGGAGGACGCTGACGCGAACCGCGACCACTAGTGCAAGCAGCACGGACAGGCGACGCAGGGCGAGACGCAGGCTCACGACGCTCAGCAAGGCCTCCAGTAGGACCAGTGTAGGGAGACGGAGCAGGCAGTGGGGAGGCCGGCTGTAACTGGAACTGCGACGGGACAGGCTGTGGACACTCTAAGGGAGGAGGAGGACCAGTAGAAGACGGGAGACCAAGAACCTGCTGAAGGAGCGGAACAAAGTACGGCCGAGGCCGCGCGGCGACTGTAGACAAAGTAGAGACAGCACCAGCACCCCCAGTGGCAGCACCAACACCAGTAGCAGCTCCAGCTCCAGTACCCCCAGCAGCACCAGTAGTACCCCTAGCAGAAACGCCTCCAGGACCGACAGCAGTAGCCTCCGCGCCAACACCCGCAGCAGCTCCAGCTCCAGAAGTACCCGCAGGTCCAGGAGCTCCAGTACTCCCAGTACGAGCACCTCCAGGACCCGTGGCACCAGCTCCCTTAGCAGCAGCAGAACCTCCAGTACCCGCAGCACCTCCAGCTCCAGCAGCTCGCCTCCAGCGCCAGGCAAACCACTCACGCAGCTCCTGTGGAGAGAGTAGCTCGCGGCGAGAAGAAGCACCCAGAGAACCGCCAGACACAGCACCAGCAGGCCCAGCTCCCTCAGGGTCCGCACCCCCAGGCTCAGCACCTCCAGGCGTAGCACCCCCAGGCTCAGCTCCCCCAGGCGTAGCACCCCTAGGCTCATTACCCCGAGAGTCAGCACCCCCAGGCTCAGTACCCTCAGCAGCACCAGAGTCACGAGCGACCTCGACAGGCTCAACAGCGTCTATCTGGGACACACCTGAAGGGGCAGGACCCTGAGGGGGAAGGGGGTCTACCGGGGGGGGACTTGGCACAATGAAGAGCGGGGGCGGGGGGAGGGACGGAGTGCGGTAGGGGAAGAGACGGTAGTAGGGGACCGACTCGTTGAACGTGACGTCCTGGGAGGACAGAACACGGCGAGAGGTGGGGTGGTAGAACTGCCACCCTGGCGCATCAGGGGGGAAACCCAGGAAGACGCAAGGAGCAGCACGAGGGGACAGCTTGTTCGCAGACAAGTCGCAGAAAAACGCCCGAGATCCCCAGACACGGAACGCAGACGCATCGCCAACCTTCCCCGTCCACAGCAAAGCTGAGGAGGTCTCCGGCATGGAGACCCTGGGCTGAAGGTTGATCTGATGCGCCGCGTACCGAACCGCAAACGGCCACAGAAAATGGGGGGCAGCCGCATGCATCATGGACGTACGGGCGACGTCCATGACCATGCCAATGCGGCACTCAGCTGTCCCATTTTGCTGTGGAGAGTCCGGAAGCGTGAAGGTCTGGCGGATGCCTCGTGCACGACAGTAGGCTCGCAGAAGGCCAGAGGAGAACTCTCCGCCTCTATCAGAGTGCAACACAGAACAGGAAAGTCCGAACCGAAGCTCCGCCCGAGCTGGAGACGAGCTGCGTGGATCTAGTCGATCAACAGCTCAGTGACATCACCTTTGCTGCGCAAGGGGAAGACTGTGGTGTAACGCGAGTAGTCGTCAACCACCAGCAAGAAGTAGCACTCATGACCCTGTCCACGGACGCGGGCTGGGCCCCACACGTCCATGTGAAGCGTCTGCAACGGGTGTTGGTGTAAGGGCCTAATAAACTCAAGCTATTAAGACTTTATCACACTTAAAACCTCTCCTCGGGGTCACCTCCAAGGGTCCTTGGGTGCCTGGTACAAGACCAGCCCCTATCCTCGGGTCCGAGTTTGTAGAGAGAGGGATCAAGAGGGACTTAGTCAAAACAGCAAGAGTACCTTGAACGTCGCGCAGCGTATCGTGCAGACCGTCGATCGGATTAAGCTGAGAATTTCCTATATCGAAGCTCACTCTAAGAGCTTTAAAATAAGCCAAGTTGCCTCGCGAAAAGTTCTGCCATTACGAAGTTATGGCTCGGACAGCGTTAGCCTAGCGTTGGAGTGCTAGCGTACTAGCGTTGACTCGGGTAGCATTTCGCCGTCGCACCGCGTAGAAAAGAAATTCCAGCAAGGAAGGAATTCGCTTGAATCAATT